GGTGCTATAGATGAGAGCATTTCCAGGTGTCTCAGTACAATGGCTCATCCAGCCTGCAGGTGGGTAATCTCTTTAAGTAGGGAAATGCCTGTCCTTTTGTCCACAAGAATTCCAGCATGCATTCTTAACTCACACACGCCCTAAAAGCCCCTTTATGACCTGGGAGTTTATGCTTCCAGTGCTAATACTGATACATACATACATACACACACATACATGTTACAGTACCATCAGCATAAACTTGTTCCCAATCTTTGCAAAGACTGTACATCTCTTACACTAGAACCTGAATTTCCCATACCACCCATTTTCATCTTCTCATGTTTGCAAAGCACTTATTTTCTCTTCTTATTTTCCCCTTCCTATACCAAACCAATAATATTCCTAAGCACTTATTTACCCTCACCACCCCATCCTTCCTACAACATTTATTGTGTGCTGAGACTTTCAACAGTCTCATAACTTTTGAAGAAGCCATTGACTCCTTCTTTCATCATTCAAAAGCATCCCAAAACAAATCATGTAAGAAAAATACCACACTGTAGTTGCAGAGTATGCAGGATTATACTTAAGGTGCAGGATTATACTTAAGATATAAACAAACTGATAAATCTTGCATTGAGAGAAGAGAGGAAGAAAAGCAAACACCTATTGCCTTTTAAAAATAAATAAAAATTAAAAACAAGTTTCAGAAAGGAAGGAAAAATGAACGAACAGATGAACTTCCAAGCAAGATGGCAATAACCTGGCCATGTGGCCCCTTTGTTTCCCCCACTAACATATAAATCAAGACAAACATAATGTAGACATGTGCATAGCCACCTGCACAGACATACAATTCCAGTTCTATATCCTCCATTCACACAGAAATTGTTCTATTAAAAAGACAGGATCTCCTGTAAAGAAAGCAAAGGAGGCAAAAGATTAAAAGGAGGATGAAGCATAAGGAGCCCCAATGATGGAACGTCTCAGCCCCTGTGACAAAGCAACTGACATGCAGGTGGGCTAAGCAGCCAACACAGAAGAAAGTTAAGTGCTATATGCTAATCTACTGTGTGCACACACTACTCCAGGTAATCTTGTAAAACTCAGGGCTTATTTATTTAATTATACATTATTTATTTATTTAAATTTAATTTAATTTAATTATTTAATTACTGAAGTCTTGGGACAGTTTAACAATACAAAATGCAAAAAATAAACCACAGTGTCCTAAAAATTCAACTAACAATAAAGCCCAATTAAAACAGTCAGGTCTTAAAACATTGGGAAAATGAAAGGGTTTTGGCCTGGCGCCGGAAAGACTAAAGTGATGGCGCCAGGTGAACCTCTCGGGGAGCGAATTCCACAACTGGGGAGCCACCGCAGAGGGGGCCCTTCTCCGGGTTGTTGCCCTCCCATCTCCTTCAGGGAGGGCACTTGCCCCAGATCAGTTGAAGCCAAAAGAAGGACACAGCGAAAGAGCAAAAATCTCAGAAAGGGAATCCTTTGCAGCCTAAAAGCTGAGAGCTAAATCCTAGGGAGAAATCCAGGAGGAACTTACAGTTCTCCTTTGTGGAGTCTTGATGTGAGAAGCTTCTAGAGCCAAGGAAATCTTACATGCTGTGTGGAACAGGGAGGCTGCTGGGGGTTGCAACAGCTCCATTTCTTTTTTTTAAATAAGTTTTATTTGAAATTATAATCCTAAAAAACAAAAAGAAAGCTCCAAACAACATCCATCATCAAAAAACATCTTGCCCGCTGACTCAGCCCCCACACCCTTCTTTTTCCAATTATGATAACTTAAAAACATATTTAAATCTATGCCAAGTCCCATTTCTCTAACCAATAATAAAAAGAGTCCCAAGTTTGATAAAAGTCAGTATCTCCTTTCTCCTTCAATGATAAAGTCAATCTATCCATTTCTGCACAGTCCAGGATCTTTTTAGAATCAGTTCATCGATGGGTAGTTCTTCACTTTTCCAGTGTTGAGCGAATGCAATCCTCGCCGCAGTGATTACATGTAAAATCAAATACATTTCTTGTTTACTAATGTCCTCCGGAATAATGCCTAACAAAAAAACTTCAGGTTTAAAAGCTAAGAATTTTTGTAACATTTCCTTGAGCCATTTATGTATTTTAATGCAATACTTTTTCACATTATCACAAGTCCACCACATATGATATAAAGTACCCAATTTATGTTTACATTTCCAACATCCATTTGACATATTTGGAAACATCTTAGCTAATCTGTTTGGTGACAGATACCATCTATAAAACATTTTATGCAGGTTTTCTTTATACGAAGTTGCTAATGTTACCTTAATATTTCTCTCCCACAGCTTTCGCCACTTTTCTAATGCAATATTAAATCCAAAATTTTGTGCCCACGTTATCATAGTTTCCTTAACCTGTTCATCTTCCATTTTCCTATCAAGTAAGAAGTCATGTAATCTTTTACTCATTTTCTCATCTGATTTAAGCATCACTTGATCAAACGCTGTTAAGCCCTTATAAAAAACCCACGCTTTACAATCTTTAGCATATCTCGATTGTATCTGCACTTTATGCCACCAAGAGATATTAGATCCCTGTTCTTGTGTTTCTGGATTCCATTTCAGGTCTCCATCCTGATCCAAAATATCATCGTATCTTATAATCCGCAACAGCTCCATTTCGGAGCGGCCCCACTGCACCGCTTGCAGCCTCCCCCTTCTGTGGCTTGTGCAGCAGCTGTTTGGACTGATGCCCTGACGGAGAAGGGGGCACTCCTTGTGTCACGTGCAGAGCTCAATTAGGGGTGAGCACCCCACAAATACTGGGCACGCTCTCCAGGAACTCAGACTCGGGGCCACTGCAAAGCAGACTGGAGTTCAGGGTGCCAAGCCCATCCCCTAACAGATTCCTCACCCATCTCCGAGAGAGCTTGTGAGGTGCTCCAAAGGGGCCTCTCCCGGTTGGGAGAATGGCCCTCGACATGGCAGATGCGGCTCAGCATGTAAAGCAAGCATAAAGCAATGCATGTTGGGGCAGAACATCTCGACTTCAAGTATTAATGGAGTGGATCTGAGCTGGTGTGGCTTTCTGAGAAAGGGATCTTGGGGTGGTGGAGGGCAGCTCAATGAGTCTTGAACCAGTGTGTGTCTACTCTGAGAAAGGCAAACTCCATTATGAAAGGTGTTGAAAATAAAAGTGATGATATCATTTCCCTCTAAACTGCACTTACAATATGTGCAAAGTTCTGTTCACCACTCTTAAAAAGGAATATCGTCATGCTGGAAAAGGTGCAAAGAAGGCTAACAGAAATGATAAAGGGCTGAAGCAACTGCCCTATGAGGAAAAGTTAAAACAGCTGAGAGTGTTTTCCCTAAAAAAAAAAAAGCCAGTAAGAGGGGTGTACTGAATTGCACATGGTGCAGATAAAGTGGAAAGAGAGGCTCTAACTGGCAGTTCACAGGCAGAATGAATGATTCCTGGCCCAAGGACTCTGTGAAAGCCCTGGATTTTCCTATCCAGCCTGCACACACTCACCAAGGATCCATCAGCTCCAGCGATGACTTTCTACTAATTCTTGCTGCCTCCAAAATAAGTTTAGCTCCCTTCAGAGCAGCCAGTGCACTGCCTGGGGTCTCGAGCTTATCTTCCAGGCGTGGGACTGTGCTTTCCACAACATCCATCCAGACAGAAATCTTACGGACCAAATATTGTGCTGCCGGCCTAGAGTCTGTGATCACGTTTAAACTTCCAGCGATGCTTAAATGAAGGGGCTGGGCAACTTTGAGAGGTTCAAGGGCAATTCTGGCATTTGCTCCCACCCCCACCCCCCACAGGTTGTTTACACACGCTCATGCACATGCGCGCATGCACACACACACACACACAGGCAAAGAGAAGGAAAAATAATTTTAAAAAAATTGTGTTTAATGCTGCTGAAGAGTGCCATGAGGGGTCAAAATTAGCTGTCAAATCTTTTCTACCAGGGAATTACATACTGTGGAGGAGAGATAGTATTACATACTTAGTCAAGAATTATGGTAAGTGAGAAGCAAAATTGTGGAAGAAGATTAAGAAAATCAACAACATGAATGGCACATTCATGCTGGAATTACACATAGTCAGAGGATGGAACTTCTGTGTTAGAGAATGAAAAAGATGGATATGTGTGAAGTCATGAGTGTTCTTGCTTTTTCCAAAGGTCTCTTTTAATCTCCTTTTACACAAATGTGCTTTTAAAATCATACCACTGAAAAAGTATATCACTTTTATAAGTTCTTGTTCATTGACAACAGTGCACAGGAAATAACATCTAGTCCAAGGTTAAGGACAGCTGGGGCACAATACTGTGCATGGTTAGACATGAGAGAATCCTCAACTCCCAGGTGGCCCAAGTTGCTGGATTTTCTCTGCCTTAGTAGAAAATACGTTGCTTTTCATTCTTTTATCGACTGTTGATAGTTATTGAATGTTCATGCTATATGTTGCAGTTGCCCAAAGAATATTGCTAGGTGGCACCATGCACATACTCTAAATCAATAATAAACATGTACAAATTATCCAAGGTACCCTCGTTGCCACCCAAGCATCTCATGCAGCAGAGAGAAACATCTCAGAACATCCCTGGATTCCACATGGTTTCAAGCAGAGGCCACCAAGCCATCACTCTGGGGCATCCGGACCCCTCAGTAGGCATCCCTGCAAGAAGGGCTTGTCTACACTCCACTTCAGACCTTGTTATTGTCTCCATCAGCTGATGCATACAGGTGGGTTAGGAGTAAACGAAGTTCAAAACAGGTTTAACACATGTGGATATAGGCAATCCGTAAATCCCATGATTGATCTTAATGTAAGTCCCCAAGCAATAACACCATGTGCAATTACTGCTCAGTTGATAAAGTACTGGCACACCTCTTCTGAAAGGTGTATTAATAACGTTTCATCCTTTGGAAAGAGCACTAGAAGCTGGTGCAGCTCTCATCTGCAGAGCAAGAACGGTGAGGGAGAAGTGAAGCAGAGGGAAGATGGTGGCTGGAGCAGCCGTGGTCCCAGCCTCCCTGGCTTGGCTCTGGGCTCAGGTCTCGTGCTGCTGGCGGAGCCCCTCGACACTGGCCCTCTCCCTCGTAGCGCTTGCCCTGCTGCTCGACTATGCGAAGCGGAGGAACAGATGGAGTCACCGTCCGCCAGGACCCGCCCCGCTCCCTTTCATCGGGCACTTGGCACTTTTCGATAGGAAGAAACCACATGAATTCTGCACAAACGTGAGTCCTGCCTCACCACCTCTGAGGGTCTTGCATGTCGGGGAATTCTGACTGCAGCCATGCACTGAGAAGCAACTGCGCCAGGGACCTGGTCCAGGCACTTCCCAGCGCTTGCTAAATGACAACCTTCCGGTTTGAGTTCCCGGCACATAAAAGGCAACGTGCTTTGTCCCTGCGGCATCTCTTGCCCTCCCCGCGACTGGCTCTCGCGTGGGCCAGCTCTGAGGACACTGCGTGCCCGGGGGCTGCAGCACTAGCCAGCCGCAGGCCCCGGGAAGCTCCAAGGGGAGTGCGGAAAGGGGCAGGCTCTCGCGCCCTGTTCCTGCAGCGGGGCTTTGGAGGAACCACGCCAGAAGCGGCCTCCCTGCACTCCTAAAGGCTCGGCAGCCGCTGAGCCAAGGCAAGGCAAGGCTACACGGACACGACCTGGCGACTTCCGGAAGCGGTTTTGCTGTAGGGTTGGGACTGGGCATGTGTGCGGAACACGAACTGATTCCATTTCGGCCCCGGTGCCCTTCATGTTCTTTCTCCTAGAATGAGGGTGAGGGTAAGGGAGCCTTTCCCCAGGACACAGCTCGGCAGGGGCCCAGGCTGTCGTTCGGACGTTGCGCTGAGCTGGGCAGGTGTCACAGTCCGCCTCCGTCCAGGGAAACTGGCTGAGTGCCCGATCAACCCGCCCAGTACATGCAGCTCAGCTCTGCTCTACGGAAGCCCGGACAGGGGACTGGGGCAGGCAGGGGGCAACTTCCGCCCCGTTGTGGAAAGGCACTGGTTGGGTGGGTGCTCCGGAGACTCCTGGCCAGGACCCTTCCTTGTCCTGGGCAGAGTGGGGGCCAGTCTCTCACGCATCGCTGACTGTTTGGCCGGAGTCGGAGGAGGACTCGGAAGGGGGAGCAAGGGGGTGGGGGGGAAGCTTGTGAAGCTCCTTCACGGTTGCCCAGTGAGGTTTCTCAGGCCGGGCATGAGAATCATCCTCATCTGGAAGGGGAGGGAGGTGTCGGGTGTGAAGCCGAGTACTTCCCCATGGGGAGCCAGTTGAAGGAGCAAGCCGCTCCGTTGGAGGGGCTTTGGCACTGGCCCCGACCTGCCCTCCAGAGGGCAGCGCCCCCCACAAGGGTGGAGCCAGGCATTTTACTGAAAGGCGGCTGGGGTGGGGGGATTCCGGGAGAATCTCCCATTTGAATTCAGCTCTTCAGGGGACCAGAGGCTTCTCTTCCGTCTTTGGTAGGGGGCTAGTTAGAGCTCAAACGGCTGTATTGCAAAGGACTGCCGAGCTTCTGAAAGCAGAGGGAAGGAGGGAAGGAACCGGCTAACGACAGCCTGCCTTGTTGCTGCTGCCCCCCAGGGAAGGGAGGGCCGGGAGGGCCTGGTGCTGGTGCACATGCCTCTAGACGCAGGGAGGGGTCCTTGCACTTCCGCTGGGCTGGGCTCTCCCTCCCTGCCTCACGAGGGACTCCCCCTACGCTGCCTCCTTGCGCTAATGAGCGTTCCCGCTCCTTGGAGGGCTTCCTCTAGGAAGCATCAACTCTCCCTTGAGGCCACCGTGGGTGCGCCTGTGCAACAGAATGAGCAGGAGCCACTGCCTGCAGAAGGGGCTGGCAGGGTGCGAAGGAATCCGCAGGGGCAGGAGCGCCCCACTGGACTCGGCCCAAGGGAAGCAATCGCAATGGAGTTTGTCTGTGTTTTCTGGCTGTTATTCCCTGCAATTTCCGGTTGTCCAGTGGCACCGTGTACCTGCTCAGGTCAGGACAACGGTGGTCAGCCCTGTAGGGTCATTGGGCCAAACCCCTTAAGGGGAAATTTCTTCAGGTTGTGCTGGAGCTTTTCCCCAGAACGACCCCATCAGTCATTGCTGTCTCATTTGCACGGGCCCGGCCAGCTCCAGGGGTCACTCCTGCTGCACTCCTGCCTACCCGACGCATCCCGTGGCCTCCTGGTGCTCAGCATGCAACCAGTCTGGAGGCTACGTGGATGCAGGCTGCCGTAGCGCCTGATCAGGTGGGAGTGCAGTGGCAGGTGCCCCTGTCTGGGGGGGTTGCTGCCTGGGAGCCCAGGAAGACAACACTTGGAGGGGCCATGAAGGGGACACAGCTGTGAGGATGCTGTGCCTGAGGGGCGGCTGCAAAGCACTGACGAGAGGGGCTCAAACAAAGGACTCCAGGTAAGGTGCCCATTCCCGCTCTCTGACCATCGGTGCCTAAGCACCGTCTACAGCACGATGCTTTACAAGAGCAGCTCGATGCTTTACAAGAGCAGCTCGGCTGGCTCCTCCCGGGAGGGACCTGCAAGCTGCAAACAGACCGGGAGCCGCAATAGGCCCAGCATGAGAATACAAAAGGGTGAGAAACAGTCTGCCTGGGGCCAGAGGAGAGCCCAGGGGTGAGGGTGGGCTGTAATCTAGGCCAGCGGAGCCCATGGGAGGGGGAAAGTGGAACCCGGGGAGAGGAGGCTGATGCCTTCTGAGAAAGAAGTCAATGCTTTGTGCTTTCATCTTGGTGGCTTGAGCACTCACTTGGCAAAAACTGAACCTCCATGGTACATAAGTTGGGAGTGTATTCTCCAGAAGAGCTTTACTCGAAGTTAGCTCTGTCTTGCTTGTTTTTCAATTCCTCCATGGTGTGGGAGGAGCGGGGAGGAGCTGTCCCTTGAGGAAGAGCTTCAGGCCTGAAACAAGTCCAGGCTTTCCCACTTGTCTCGGTCTGCAGTCTGCTGCACTTTGGATCCTCTGCTTTTGCTCCACTTTTCCGCTGGACATCAGATTGATTTGTGCCATTTTCTCCTTATGTATCATAGATGGGAAAAAAGTTTGGACCAATGTGCCTGTTCCAGGCTGGGTGGACAGATATAATCCTACTAAGCGGGTTCAAGACGATAAAGGAGGCACTGGGACAAAAGGCCGAGAGCTTTGCCGACCGACCACCGGTGCCGATGCTGAGGGTCGCAGGCCGCGCACCGCGTTGTGCAGGCGAGTGTTGCTCACGCGGTGATGGGATGCCCCGAAAGAGCAAAGGCGACAGGATGGGGCTGCAGCCGTGCCTGGGCAGCTAGCCAGGCATGCCGGCACGAATGAACGATGCTGCCGCAGCAAGCCTGGCTCTTTCTCCTGCGGCCCCCTTGCCAAGGCAGCATAAGCAAACGCCACCTGGGCCCACTCTGAGCTGGCACAGGTGCCAGCCTTTCCGCCTGTGTGTGCAGCGAGAGGCAGCCGCACACTGACCTGCTGCAGGGCTCGCCAGGAAGCATCGCTCGCTCCTGCCCACAGGGAGGTCTGGCAGCAGGTCGTGGGAGAGCATGGCGGGCAGGCACTTCTCATGCTCAAGCTTCCCCTGGAGAAGCAGCAGCAACTTCAGCGGGCTGCCATGGCGGTCTTACTGGAGCGGGGATGGCGGCTTGAGGGGAGAACTGGCACGTTGGTTGTGGTCACGTGCTGTTTGGGGAAAGGGTGATGGATGCCTGGCTGCTCAGCGAGCACGCTCTGCAGGGCATGAGGTCAGGGTTGCCCTCCTGCCCGGGCAGTCAGTGGGAAGTGGGGGAGGCTGCAGATAGCAGAGCCCCCAAGGAGACGCCTCATCCACCCAAGGGTTGTCGGAGCTTCTGGTGTGCAGCTGCCTCGAGGCGTTCATGGGGCCCTAGAAGGAGCCTGAGGAGCCAGGAGCCGTCCGAATGTGCAGCCGTGGGGCGACAAGGTGTGCTTTGTTTGGGAGGGCCCACACCTCTTGGCTGGGTGATCAGAAGTCATATGGGCCAACCTGGAAGGCAGTGATGTGAGTCACCTTGGCAGGGGGGATTCACCTGGTTCACGGAGAGTAAGCCTGTCAGTGGCTGCTCCCTGTGATGGCTAAATGCCACCTGTGGCATCTGAGGCTGCTGGCGTCCGTACGCTGCACCAGCTGATGAGGTGGTGAGCAGGACAGTGCTGTGCATTCAGCCCCAGCTTGTGGACTTCCTGGAGGGCTCAGCTTGGCCATGGAGAGAACAGAAGGCTGGACCAGAGGGGCCCTGGCTCTGATCCTGCAGGGCCCCTTTTCGGTTCTTGTGAATTGGAATGCTGGTGAAAGTTGCGGGGCTCGATTGGGTGCTACAGCTTTCATGAGCCCAGAGGGCTGAGAAACAGCTGGGGATGTCCAAGCTGACTGCCTCAGTCTGCCCTTTAACAATAGCAGGGAGAAAATTATCAAAAGCAGAATTTAAGTTCAGAATGGTTCTGGAGAGCAATGAAGAGCACAACAATGGACTGACAGGAGACTATTTTCTCTCCTTAGGAATAATCATGGCAAGGTGCAGTGATGGCTGGAGAGAGCAGAGGAGATTTTGTCTCAAAACCCTGAAAAACTTTGGGATGGGGAAAAAAACACTTGCAGTGCGAGTGTCTGAAGAAGCCAGACATTTGTGTTCTGAATTAAAATCCAAAGATGGTACGTCTTAGTCTTGGGGTGGATACACGGAAGCAAAATACTCCCCGTGGTAATTGGTGGACATAATTCTAGCTTTGATCTTGAGTCAGACTTGATCAGAGGCTGGAATGACTGATGCAGCATCCATGAGCTGCTCTTGAGAGCGTGAGGCAGGCTGAGAGGTGCAGCAAGAAACATTTTAGATTTGTGTCAGGTTTGTGGGTGGAATTCTGGACTCCCCTCTGATTCTGATTAATCAAACTGTGAGTTGAGGTTGACTTGGGTTCATCTGAAGGACGTTGAGAACTTGGTGGAATAAGAGTCCTCCTGTGAAACCCAGGCAGAAAAGACTTTGCCCTCACTGGGATGGGGGCAAATCAAAGCCCCTGGGTTCCCTCACACAAGCCTCGGGCTGCGCGTGCTTGCAACAGCAGGCAGGAGTACACCCCCAGCTGAGTATTCTGTGGAGGCAGCTCAGCAGCACCCCGATACTAACCACTCATGCAGACACTTAGGTGTAGCAGGAAGGCACAGACAGCCCCTCAGAAAAGCACTTAGCAATGCCCCACTTTCTTGAGCTCCCTTTGCAACATGCAGGTAAGCTTTCCCATGAAGTTGGCCTTGGCTTCTCATCCCCGATTGGAGGCACCTTGGAACAAGTGCTCCTCCGTCTTCCCCACTGCTTGGGGACTTGCTCTACAGGGCTTGCTCTGCCTGGGGCTCTAAGGTCTCCTAAGGATTCTGGGTATTGCTCCTTCTTAACTTCCTCTGTTCTCCTTCTGGTTTTCCCTCTCCTGTTGGCTATTGGCTTGGTTCACTCTACCCACTAGACAACCACGTTTTGCATGCATGACTGAGGCTGGCAGTTTGCACTCTAGCAGCACCTGACACACTTGGACGGAAAAGTGTAGAGAAAGGAAGGCACCAAATGGAAGCACTTAGACATGGTTTCTGAACCGGGAGTGGCACATGGCACAGAAGAGAGACACTGCTTGTGCAGCACATGGGGGTTTGATTGCTGGCGACCACCCTGTGAATGCCAGGTGTGCTCACCAGGAACTTTGACTCTGGGCTGTGGCAAGGTGGACTGTCGTTGCGGAGCTGAGCCCAGGGAATGGATTCCCACCGCCCAGAAGATCCCCCCGCACGTGCCTAAGTGGAACTGATCAAAAGTGCACTGAGTGCACAAAACTCGGGAGGGCGGGTTCTCCAGTTTTCACAAAGGCTTTGGTGTCATGGCTGTCATGACAAAAGCACAAACATTGAAGGAAGGGTCTCAAGGATCGGGAAGAACTGGTTCCAGGCTGAAAACCCTGAAGCGGATCATCCTGCTCCCCAAACCATCAAACCTCAAAACTATGGACTATGGAATGGCTTCAGTGCCATTCCCAATATGCACCTCGCCAGCTTTCGACAGCATGGTAAACCGTGTGCCAGGAGAATTAGGAAAATCGTACGGCCCACAATGGGCACATGGGGGTAGGGAAAAGAAGCTGTCCAAGTGTCTTCTTCCCTGTGGTCATCCAAGCCCAAGCCATATGGAAAATACCTCCATATTATTGTGACTGAATTAGTTGACCATCACATGCTTTCTTGAGTGAATTGTTCTTACCTGGAAGATGAGAAGCAGGCCAAATGCAATGATGACTCCTCTCTTTGTGGTTCTTGTGTCTCATACAGGTTCCCTGTTTGATCCACGAAACAGCATCTTCAGGGCAGTTGGGAATATTATCTGTGCTCTAACCTTTGGAGAACGCTTTAAATACACTGATAAGACCTTCTTGAAGCTAATGCATTTGGTTGAGGAGGTCATGGGAGGACTAACCAAAATCATGGCTCAGGTGTGTTCTAAAGTTTGATTAGATTAGACATTAAAGGGGGAAACCATCTAAGGCAGGGGTCTCA